CTCATGAAATTAAAGCAGTCTATATTGCATGTCTGTACCAGATTTGTTTTTTTCAACACAATACTGTAAAATACTTTTCAATTGGAATTAATTTTCGTTGAAGGAAAAATTCACTGAAAATAAAATCTAGCGAAAATACCTTTTTTCTTATATTTTACGCTAACCTTGTAAAAAATCAGTGAAAATAACTTCCATACAAAACGCCTAAAAAGTCTCATCAAAAATTTATTCCAGCTAAAATAAAGTATTCAACAGTATAAATTTGTTTCTAAGGTTTTTACTCGTCCACTCAAATGTTACTCTATATAGCATTCTATTTATTATGAATTCATGGAGTTCCAGCATAAAACATACATGTAATGTACAGTATAGTGGCTCTTTAGAATGCATTTGAGAACTTGTAAACTTTTAAGCTTTGTGTGATATAATTAATATTTCACTGTTGGCCATTTATGAGCACAACTTGTAAATGACTAAACATTCATCATGCCCTGCTACCAGTAAAGCTGTACTTACTGTCATATTGCCGTATTTACCAAATGCTGCCCATATTTGTTGTACAAGTTCAGAACTCAGTAGAAGTAAATGATTTATTCCCGTTGGAACACTAGATTTAGTGTATATACCGGTACAATGCATTTTATTCCATCTTTCATTTCTGAATTTACATCTTGTTCATATATTCAATAAAATTTCATGTGATTAACTAGAAACTGGATTCACTGTTAAGCTGTCATTGGAATCCTTGCATCTGAAATATCAATGTTCAGAATTATCTTGCTGTATTAAACCAGCTTACAAGCACTCAGAGAACAGCACTGCGGATACTGTACTGTATTTGCTCTATTAGTAACACATGCTCTTACATTAATTACAGAGATTTTTCTATGGTCAAAATAAGTAATATTTCAATGATTTTCTTTATATGCACTTCTACTGTAGATAAGCTTCTAAGGAAACAAATGCTCATATACATGTAGTACACTTCTGTACAGCTGTCTTGTATGAGATATTTAGACTACATGTAAGCCTGTGCATTTGCTTGCATGTACATGTAGGAACTTAATTCTCACAATTCATTCTTCCTTTATTTTCATGTCAACTCCAGAAGACCACCACAAATCATACACCATTCATTTTGTCATGCGTGTGTTTTTTGATTCAGGATTTCCTTATTCATGACTTCCCTATGTGGACAGTGATTCCATTGTAAATAAATGATATTCAGATAACCTTTACAAATCCATATCTCACTGATTAGTACATGTATATGAATATTCATAATTCTAGGCAAATTGATACATGTAAAATACAAAAGGGTTTTCATATTAAATTACATCATAATTTAAGCAGACCATCATTATTCAAATCACTGTCTATAACAAACGCATATGTGTAGCATGTTGTCTGTTGGTGATCACAGGAGTCGTGGCAGAATATTAACTTATAGCCAGTCTTCTTCTCTGTTGAGATTACAAAAGGCACATGTACATGTACCAGGTGTAGTATATATCACAATTATTACACTTATCATACATGTACATACTGGGTATAAGGATGCTTGGATTCTTGCATTATTCACCATTATAACTGATTTCTTGGAAAAGAGAAATTTTCTGCGTTTTTTTTTTCATAATTCAAAAACGCCATCATAAATATACATGTATCTGTGTAATTTATGATATTTTGTTTATGCTTTATAAAATATCAAGTATATCTGCAGAAAGTGAAGTGTTTGCTTCAATAGGTCTTGAATAGGTCTGTTTTTAATGTCAGATGTCATACATACTGCACCAAGTCATGTAGATACATTTGATTAATATATAATAATATTGTCATATGTAGTAATATAATTTCCTGGTGTAAAATCATGTATGTACTAGTTTGAGGAAGCTGTATTTTTTTTTAGCCTCTGTAAAATGTCAACCCTTGTTTTAACCCTTATCCGGTCATATCTGTGTACTGGTAGATAAGATTATACAAATGTTCATCAATACAGAACTCCCACTTGTAGTTTCAAGTGATTATACCTTGACTGCAATTATCAGTTGTGTGTGATGTGGTTAGCTCTGATCCTATCTATCAGCCGACAAGATACTGAAAGTGAATTCTTGTTGTAAAATGTGGTGTGTTTTTGCTTGAACCTGTGCTGAAGATTTTTCACACAGTCATATTAATCTTTCCCTAAGACCAGTTTGATCAGATTGGGCATCTGCACCAGCTTTGACATCATCAGACTAGTCTGATGAAATTGATCAGATTTTGATGTTTAAATGGTCATATTATCTCTGATCAGATTGTCCTGTCTTTGTAAATGGCATTTATATCTATATCATAATTAGCGTCAAGGGACATTAATTTTACAGAAGTCTGCCAGATAGTATGTCTCATAAAACATAATGGCATCATCTACATGTACCCCGGTATGTGTACTGGCTTCTTTAACATGTATTTACGCTGTGTAATCGTAGAATGTCTAATTTTTACAAATGATTATGTCTGTAAAAAGACTAAAAAAATGATATGAACTATATATTTTAAATAATTCTTTAGCAACGAATTCAGTCAATATATACAATCAGAATAATAAAAATATCGTACCAGGAAGTGGTATTTGACACCTCATTAGGAATACTAATCAAATCTAATAATTGATGGTTGTCTATAAATAGAACACTGAGTCATTGTTAAGTACAACAATAGCAATTACATTAAATTCAGTGCGTTTGACAGATTTGTTATACTATTCAACATGCTAACGAGTATGTAATTGGCTGAATGTATTATGCAGCATTATTTTGACTGCAAACACATCCCTGCATGTGCTTCTAATAGGGAAAATAATACTCTTTGTTTTATACATGTACTGTAAAACCATTTATGTTCACTGACATTTAATTTCACTACATTTGTATTTTGATGTTTTGAGCATATTCACTGAGTTTTTAGTCTCGTTCGGACGCAGTCCGAAAACGGGGACTTATGTTTTGCCCTGTGTGCGTTCGTGCGTCCGTCCGTCCGTGATCACCTGTATCTCAAACATGCATGGACCGATTAAGTTCAAACTTCACTCATACATCACACATTATATGGGACATATGCACATGCATTTTGTTCATGATCCGATTAACGATAGCCGAATAGCGACCATTTTAAGGCCGAAAATGCATCAAAATCGCACATTTTCACCATTCCAGACCCGGATCTCAGTTATGCATGAACGGATTTTGTTCAAATTTGGTACATACATTAAACATAATAGGACCTTGATGCACGTCATTTTTTTTTTTTTGGATCGGGTTCGAAATGGCTGACTGGCGGCCATTTTGTTAAAGAATTCAGTTCTGGATCCGTATCCAAGACATGTCTGGATTGATCAAGTTCAAACT